TTTCAGAACATTGAATGGATCTACATTGATATCATTTACAACTATAAATACTAATGTTAACATTGCTCTGCCATAAACAAAATACCAACATTTTTATATTGTCATGTCATGCTGCTGTGATTAAACTAACCAATCTGTAGTTACAACACTACTAAGTAAAATTACAACAATAGTAAGTCAAATAATAAAAAACCAAAGGTGTTTTGACAGTAACCAATTTCTGAATCTTGTAGAAACTGGTGTATGACAACTTCTGATAAGCAACTCATAGGAATTTAAGATTTTGGATTAAAATGACAATTTGCACAATTCCTTAGCAAATGACAATTTTAGTTTTATTTAGCAGATGACAAGTTTTGATAAACAATTTATGACAAGTTTAGTAAGATGAATGACAAATTTAGTAAGACGAATGACAACGTCTGATAAACAATTCATAAAAATTTAATTTTCTCTTTTCAAATGATAGAATTTTCAAATTTCTTTAGCAGATGACCAGTTCTGATAAGTAATTTATGACAAGTTGATTAAGGCAAATGACAAGTTATGAAAATCAATTGACAAGAGTGGAAAGCCAAATAACAACTGTAATAAGTGAAATTATAAGTCTGTGAGGAGATTTGTCATGAATTCAGAATATTAAATGGATCTACATTGATACCATTAACAACTATAAATACTAAATGTTAACATTGCTCTGCCTATAAACAAAATACTAACATTTTTAGATTGTCATGTCATGTTACTGTGATCAAACTAACCAATCTGTAGTTACAACACTACTAAGTAAAATTACAACAATAGTAAGTCAAATTACAAAAAACCAGAGGTGTTTTGACAGTTTTTGCAAGATTCAGTGACAAGTGTATCTCAAACTAACTACAACATCCTCCAACTAACATTTTTCATCATTAACTTCATGTTTCATTCTCTTCCACCGTATAACCTAGTGACCACACCACAACCCACCAAGATGATGCCGTGCCAATCATGAAGTATATATATGTAACATCCTAATTTTCATGTATCTAATATTTAAACAAATTTTATAGAATAGATAGAGGTTAAATATACATATATGTAATTAAAATAATTCTGATTTTATGTGTGTGTGTGTGTGCATGAGCAAATGAATAAAATAACGATGTTAAGAAGTCCCACATTGATTAAATGATAGGAAGTGGATAAAATAGCAATGTTAAGAAGTCCCACCTCGACTAATCTTTAGAGTGAAGGAGTTTGAGGAGCCTATATATAGGAGATAATGAGTGGAGCTTGAAGTGAGTAAATAATTTTCGCACAGATCTGAGGTAGTCTCAGAAAAGTGCTAGTTTTGAGTTTATTAACCGTTGGATCGGACTGAAATTTGGTCATCCCATTTGGGACATCCAAATCGTTAATTTCAACGGTTAGATCATCATTTTGATCTCCGAGTTACAATTTATTAGGTACGTTTTTAACTTATATCTTTTGGATTTAACAAATAGAGTCCTGAATAGTAAATTAGCATTTTAAAATTCCTTCACCATTAGATTGAGCTATAATTTGGAGGATAGTATCATGATAGATAGGAAATCAAATTCAACGGTTAGATTAAGGGTTTAACTTCTGTAGTGAGAATAACTTGGTTCATACTAAGTCTATTTGTCTAAAGTCCTTCGAAGATGGAATATAAGTTATAAATTTATAGTTTGTCTATTTGCATTATGAATTTGATGATTCTAATAATATAATCTAATAATTAAAGGATATTTAAGTAAGGAAAATTTAGGAATCGAGTCTAAATCATATATATATGTTCTCATTCCAAACCTTAGAGAAATGTCTTTTAGGCTAGAGTTCTGAGTAAAATTAAAGCTTTTAGAGGAGGAGTAAGAGGCTAGAATTTTGTGAGTAGCCTACTCTAATACTATAGAGATAATATTTTAATTTTGTTTGTAGATATAAACTCTATTGTGGCATTTTCGAGGTTGGACTCTAGTTGTAGTTGATTGTTAGCTAGGAGACCAGGTAACTAAATTTCTATCTGTTGCATGCTCTAGTATGAAGTTGGTGAGCGGCTTTATAACTGATTCTATAAAAGTATATTACGTTTTGTATGAACTGTCTTGTGGGATGCTATTTTTAAAAGGATTGACATAGTTTGTATTGCAAGAAATTGGTGATCATGATTATGATGTGCTATTATGAAATTCTGTTGATTATGCATATAAATGTGTCATTTTGAACCCTGTGCATCTATTTTGGGTGGGGAAAGGAGGTAATTGAAGCTATTGAGATTCATATACTTGCCACGTGGTATTAGCCTCCATACGGAGCTCTATGGTTGGCTGTTATTGTTGTCCCACTAGTTCTTCGAGGGACTGCGACACCCCACTAGTTCTTCGAGGGGGGACCCATGGTCCACCGAGTGCTCTGTGGTCTTTGGCCGGTCCACATCATTCGTGTGGTGAGCTTGTCAGAGTTGCCAGTCAAATGGAAAGAACTTAGCCCATGGGTCCAGTCGGCTGAAATAAGGAGGATATAAGGATGGACTTGGGTTCAGGAATTGCATATGACATGGAATATTCATTGATATTTATATCTTTTAAATAAATGACAAGTGCGTTATCTCTTTTGAAATGTATAAATTGCATGAGAGTGGTGGAAATATTTGTCTTATATGATTATTGTGAGTTTAAATGTTAAATAAATGTTTATCAATTATTATTAACTCTGTGTATCCCACCTGACACCTCGCTAGCCCATGCTAGGGTGTGTGATAGGTAGGGATTTAGTTACTGAGACGTTGTCTCATCCCTATTGTTTAACATTTTTCAGGTGAAAGCTTTAAAGGAGGGACGTCAGGGAAGGCTCAGGAGGAGTAAAGCTACATTTGCAACTTGTAGCGTCTCCTCGGTTTATGAGCTATGTTGTATCCTGTATATTGCCACCTTAGGATAAATTGTTTTTAATTGATTCATGCATTATTATTTCTTATGTCCTTTGGGTGTACTATTGTGGTATGTGTGCTGATAGGTGGCCAGAGGCCTAGGATGGCATATTCGCATGTGATTTGTTTATGAATTTATTATAAACTATGAATTAAGATTTAATTCTTAACATTTTGACTTATGAGCTATATTATATGTTGTATTATAACTATATTAGATAAGATTAATCCTTTCTTATATAGTTTGTATTTGAATGAGTTAAGAAAAATTCTTTTATCCGTGATAGGATGTATGATTGGGTGCTGCTCTTTTCTATCACGGATAACAATATTATATAATTAGTTAGTGTAGATGATTGTGATATAATTTGAGTTTGTATTTAGCATAATTTGGTTATAAAATGTTATTTCTTAAAGTTACTATGAAAAAGTTAAGTTTATCTGTTTATTTAGGGAGGTTGTTTCATTTTGGTGCTAGTGTTGACTAAGATAGTCAAGTCTAAACTGCTATTATAATTTATCATTCAAAGGCGTATTGTTTTATAACCATGTTTGCCATGATTACAAATATATGTTATTCTTTTTCTAACTATGATAGTCTTAATTAAGGTCGAATGTTTTTTTTCTATCATGGTTAGCCCTTTAATGATGTGATTGCTCTTAAATAACCATGATAGGGTATGTTTACTAGTTTTAATCTTTTCTATCATGGTTAGTTCTGGTTAGTAAGTGGTGATGTTACAATATACATGTAGTGTCTTGGGTAGCTTGAATATCATCCTCTCCAACATTGACTCTATATACCATCTCCAGAACACTATTGCTATCAACTTCAATCTGATTATCTCTGCCAACTAGCATTAACAATGGGTCACCATCTTTTTTGTAATAGAGATTGATGGGAATGGCCACAACTTTAACCATATTGATAAATGCATAGGCAGGAGATGAATATTTTTGAGAGGGAGAGGAACAGAAGGAAGAAGAGAGAGAGGGAGATGAAGAGGGAGAGAAGGACGAAGACGAAGAGAAAGAGATGGGGTGATGGAAGAAAGAGAAGAAGGGTATTTTTGTCTTTTTAGCCTGATTTCATAATTACAATTTGAGACCGAGTCTTTCTTGGTAACTTAGCTTATTCATGTGACCTCCTTGTAATTTTGATAATTCAAGGGTCTTTATTTGTCATTTGCCCAAAAATTTAAGATGCGCCATCCCCATATAAATTTAATATTACGTATCTTTAGTTTAGAATTTATTACTTTGCCTGTATAAATAATTAATTATTTTATAAGAAAATAACAACAATTTAGAAATTATAAAATATTCTTCTGGTCCTAGATATAAAACCCATATAGAGGTCATATATTTAGGACCGGACAAGTATTATAAATATCTAGTATAACTAATTTTTTTTAATTTTTTTAAATTAATCGAGTAGTTTTTATTAATTACCAAGTGTATCTTGCGCTAAAAGACAGGAGGCATTAATATGTTTTACGCACGCGAATCCATCTCAGTATCGCACCATCACAGGCACAGCAAACAACACCCTATTTCCATATACTTAGATTAAAATTTCTATAATTTCACTTAAATACTTTTTGAAAGAATTTGAGTAAATTAAAATATTATCCAATTAGATAAGTAATTTTTTTTAAAACATTCAATTTTTTTTTTAAATTTCCTCCCTCCCTCTCCTACAAAAAAAATCAATAAAATTAATTTAAAATTTTTTTTATGAATATATAAAATAAATGTTACGTTATATAAATCATAATTCTAATTAGGTTCTACTTTAAAATCGGGGAGTATTAATTTTTGTTATATAAATTGTATGAGATGCACTGTACAAGAAAGGAGGAGAAGGAAAGAGTGAAAGGTGAAAGATGCGAATAAGAGAGCATGGCAGTATCACCACTTTTCTGGATAAGAAGTGAGCTACGCAGGTGTCCACCGTGGCCACGAGTTCCGTCCAAAAAGACAGACATCTCCCCATATGTACAAACAACCGGGGACCTCATTTTCGCCCCCCCACAGAGAGATTTAACACTCACTTTAAAAGCTTATAAAACGATATCAAAAAGTGCCCCCCCCCCCCCCCCAAAAACAAAAGACTGGGACCCACACCATCACATACTCCATTCACCGCGCACACAAAAAGCCATTCTCCAGCACACAACAACAACTACAAAAACGACCCACACTCTGACGCTCTCCACCAACCTCCTCTCTCTCTCTCTCTCACTACCCCATAAAAAACAAACCCAAAAAAAAAAAAAAAACTTTCACTTGCACAGTCACAGGTAGATGAACAACTTGCTGTTAGCAAGTTTCATTCATCTCTCTTCTTCTCTCTCGTTTACTTCATACAGATTCATTAATGGGTTTATCTGAAGACTCCTTTTGTAGTCTTTCCCTTGCGTTCCTTGCCTGCAATAACCACACAATTCAGGCATCACTCAGTTTCTCAAAAGTTCTACAAATCTCTCTTATGCATAATTCAGTTCATTCTAACAAAGTTCTATAATAATATTATCTGTGGCATTTACTCCCTTTTAAACTAACCTCTTTCTCCCAATCTGTAAATGCTGCTGTTACAACAATAAGCACAACTGCTTGAACCGTGGACCCTGCTAGGATTCCAAGCCATAGTCCCTTGGCTCTCCAATTCAGTACAAATCCCAGTAAGACAGAAATGGGAGTTCCAATCAGATAATACGCACCAAGGTTCACATATGCTCCTATTCGCTGGAATCCACCACCTCTTGCAATCCCTGAACATGAAACAAGCCATTCTTAGATTGTGATTCATTTTTGTTTTTCAAGCGTCTGGGATTTTTCTTTTTTGTAGGGGATGGTTTGCCTATGAAAAAGAAACTCACCACATAGTATTCCTGCGAGACTGTCTGCACTCACAGATATACAAAGTAAAGGAACCATTTCAGCTACATAATTTATCACTTCTAGATCACTGCTGTATGCATATCCCAATATGTGACGGCAGAAGAAGAAGGCTGTGCTAAGGACAACTGCCTCCGCAATACCGATCACCAGAGCTACGCGGACAGCATTTCGAGCTCTGGTGGGATTATCTGCTCCTAGTTCATTTGAAACACGAGTACTGCATAGCAGGAATCATGGGGGGATTTTTCAGTGCAACATATACTTGTATCAGCAACAACACGCATTCACGCATTCATTCAGCTTAAGTATGCTTTTTGTCTTAATACACTCAAAATTTAAAGTCAAACAAACTAAACACTATGTTAACTTGATTGGTGCTTCCTCATTTCTTGACTCTCAAATTTGTCTAAAATTTGGGAGGGAGATGCAGTCGATAAGCGAACTTAGATTGTTTTAGAAAACGAGTGGATAGTAACCTGATCTTAAAGATCAGTGTGACCAAAGTGAAACTCTTGGAAAACTAGAGACAACAAGTGTATTGAAGCCATCCATATGAGTGCAGTTTTAGAACATACCTTGCAGCTGCTCCAACACCATAAGGAACGAAGTAGTGCAATGTGGTAATGCTCAGGCTGGAGAGATTTGAGAGATGAATTAGTGGAAGCCATTAAGACAGTTAATATCCACAATTTATGAGAGATTGATTCAAAGAAAACTCACCAGACAGATAGAATTGAGGTTTCAAGTTGTGGATCAGGCAAAAGGCCAGCAAGTAGGGTAAGTAACTCAAAGGACCACCATTCAAAGCTACGAAACATCCAAATGAGAAAATGAGTTAGAACAAGAGAACAAAAGAAAACAGAAGACAAAAACATAAAGCAACAGAAAACCGCCATTTTCTGCAGAAAAGACAGACAATGCTTTAGTAATTTACCAAACCATAAGTCCGGAAGGGATAGCAAATTGGAAGAACTCCGCAATGTTTAGTAAAGCAGTACTAGAGAACACAATCTGTGTTTTCTCACATGCTTTAGAATACTTCATATAAAGGCCAAGCCCAATGACATTCAACCAATATGAAATCCCAATGGCTAATGCTGCTCCAACGTGTCCCATTCCCAATCCATACACCAGAACCCAACACAAAGGAACATGCAAACAGAGAACCGCAATTGAGCTCAAAACCATGGGATAGATCATAGACTGAGCCTGGAAGTAGCGAACCAGTGATTGAAGAACACCATAGCCAAACAGTGCTGGGATGAGGTATATGCAGTATACTCGGGCTACATGAGAAATTTCAGGGTCTTGACCAAATAGTAATAGAATTTTATCCATGAATATCCACATCACAGATATAGGGACACAAACAAACATCAAAGAGATTATAGCACAGCAAGTGTAGTTCCCCAACTTTTTGAAATCTTCTGCACCGTAAGTTTGCCCACACAGAGTTTCTAATGCACCAGCCATTCCTATCTGAAATAAAATTCAGAATTTAGTAAATCATCAGAAACTAACATGTGACAATATGGACACAGGCACAGCCATAGAACAAGATATACAGTGGCGTTTAAATGCAATTTAGATCCAATCATATCTAATACATGTGCCAAACAAGATACAGTTCAGTTCAGGAACGATCGGTGCTTCATTGGCAAAATCTAAACGACCGCGCTGCGCTTAGCATATTAGACTGGCCAGGGGATCCAAGTTTGGGTACTTCTATGTGTTAGGTCTTCAGAAGCACCGAGCAAACTTATTGCTGTGATTTGGAATGCAGGATTTTTCAAGCTCTCGGCTTTGAATCACAGATGAATCTATCTCAAAAGTTCATGATGTCGGGATGAAATAATAAGATGGAATAAGCAGAGAGAATCATTCATTAGTACTTATCAGTTAAAGACAGTATGATCTTCTTTTCCCCCTCTCTTTTTGGCCATTAAACAAAGTGTGTTCTTCAAAAAGAGATGAAATCTGCAAAACATACAAACTCCATCTTTGATCATTTAATATGCTCAAATTAAGTCTTATGGATTTCATTTCATAAATGATCTTCTTCGTGCAGCCTGATCCAAACTTTTTCTACGATCGTCTCTAAAATATAGCATAGAATTAGCATCAAGACAAATTGAATCATTTGATAGACCGGCTTCGGAGAACAGAGTTGTATATTGCTGCCGATCACACTTATCCATGTGACTCCACCAACAGTATCATTATCAAGGTCCTATCTTTTCAAGATCAAGTGCCTTCCTTCTCCACAGAGACCAGGAAAGATTTGCCCCAAGAAAAAAAAAAAAAAAAAAAAGTGGCGGGCAAAGAAATATAAAATCACCCGTAGAATCTGGCTTTAGCTTACAAAAAATTTAAGAAAGCTACAGTGAAATTTTAATCATGTCAAAAGTGGCTTAAGCTGACAGGGATCCTTTGAATCAAGAGCAGAAGAGGAGAAAGACAAGCCCACGAAGAAACTGATGCAAGGCACATCATCATTTAAAAACTCTAAAATAAAGTGAATCGACTAAGAATCAGAGTAAAAGAGCCATTTTGATACTTTTTTCTCATGTGACACAGCCACGGGATTAGCACTAAATCCGAACTTTTGGCATCGAGTGGCTTCGTCCCTAGAAAAATCAGTCAGTGAATTTTAACTTCAGCTGAAAGAGAAATAAAAATTTTGAATAATGAGAAAACTGGATAAATCATCAAGGAAAACGATGAGGACTTACAAGAACACTGAAGCCGGTGACTTCAGCAAAAGAAGTGGCGATAGCGACGCCGGAGAAGGCGAGTTTCCCAATGTGCCCAACCATCATCATGGACACGACTTGCAGAAGGTACTGAGACACAGTCACGGCCACCATTGGAGCAGCCATGGAGCTCACCCTCTTCAACTCTTGGCAAAACGTACTATTGTCAGAAGACGATGACACCACAACACCATTGTTCTCTCCCTCACCACTCTTCACTAGCAAAGGAGCTTGATCTTCCTTACCCATTTCTTCTTCTCCTATCCTCTCTCTCCCTCTCTTCCTCTCTCTCTCTCTCTCTCTACAGAACTCTCTTCCTATCTAATATCTATGGGAGGCTCAGGGCGGTGCTGAATGCTGATCTTTTCGAGCGAGAGGGAGCAACTTTTATAGAACAGAGGCTCAGGGCCAGAAGCCGTTCCTTCAACGGCCAAGAATGGAACACCCTGTTTTCTGAATTGTGATTGTAGTACATACATGTGGAAATCATTTTTTTGTTTATTTTAACAAGACTTGTTTCTAAAATACAATATACCTGTTTGGAAGAGTTTAAAAAATTTCCTATAAACAAATTTTATGTAAATTGACACAAAAATCTTTTTATAACTTTATTTTGTATCATGTAAATTACTATTAAAAAACTAATTATAAACTATTTATAAAACTGTTTCAATCAGGTCTAATATTTCTTTATAAGAACTGCAGGTAAAATGGGTCGGCAACAGTTGCAGACTTCCGCTACTTTCAATGCGTGAATATTTATCAAATTATTTCACCGATAAAATTGTGGGTTAAATAATAAGTACTTCAAACTACATATAGTACCACAAAATATTTTATTAGTAGCACTCATTATTTTAAACTAATTTTTGGTGTCACCCTAAATATTTTTTAGTGACACCTGATATTTTAAAAAATAATTTCTGATGCAATTTTACCTTTAACGTATTTTATGATGTTGTATGCACAAATAATTAATTTAGGATATTAAGTATTATTAAAAAAAATTTTAAAATATTCGCTACTCAACTCTAAAATTTTTAATGAGATTTTTCTCTAACGAAAAGTTTATTGTTAAAAATTTTATTGATGAAAATGACTTAAATGTTTACAAACTTTTCAAAGTATTACTACCTTTTATGTATAAACATTTATCAAGTCCTTTTCTTTAATAAAATTTTTAAGGGGAATTTGATAATTGATATGTAATTAATTTTCAAAAGCTTAAAGTTTTAGTCACATAATTTCACCAAGATTCAATTTTAGTCCCTCCATTTATTTTCTTTGGAATGAGCCCCATACAATTTAGGCAAAATGGTTGAAGACATTGACATGAGTTTATCCGTGTAAAACTAACTGCTAAAAAGTCTTGTAGCTTAACATTGCTAATGCTTCCTTATAAGTGGGAAGTCATCGGTTTGACTTGTTTTTGACCTCATCTTAACCCGCTAATGCCTACACTTTTAATTTTAAAAAAACAGCTAAAATAGATAAAATGACTCTTGCATTACTATTTTTCTGGAAATAGATCATATAGGCAAAATTGTTGAGAGAAGCTCAACAATTGGAAGTGACTATTATTACATCAATGTCTCACTAACACTATTTTTATAATTAAATGGGTAGGAATTAACAATCCAAGGTTAGAAATCTCCTACTTATACCCCATCTTCATAATCTGTTGATTTTTTGGGTTCGCTTGTCCAATAATTTTAAATTATAAAACACAGACAACAATAGCGCTTGAATTACTCATAAAAGCGGATTCATAACATGCCACTTGTTGAATAATTTCAAGGGAAAATGACATTTCAAGACTCTGCAAACTGTAAAATTTCAATTTGGATCTTTGAAATCACATAATTCCTACTAGAGAGCAAAATCTAAATTGAAATTATGAATTTCAAGCAAAATTATCAAAATACCCCCCATTTGTTAAAAAAAAAAAGAAGTGATATCTGCATTTAATATTTTACAATCAAAACCTGTTCTCTCCAAGTCGCTAAAAATAATGTCATTCTTGGCGATAAATAACATTTTTGGGATTTTAACTCAAGATTTGTTATTTCACAATCAGATATTGTTGTTCCTGAGTAAAGTGTTGTCACAAAAGTTATTTACAAATAAGGATATATTAGTAATTTTTTGAATTTTAAAATTCTAATTTAAGTCTTGACGTCTCACAGGAATTATGTAATTTTGAGAACCTAAATTAAAATTTCACAATTTTCAAGGTTGAATGTCATTTCCCTAATTTCAAAACGTAAGAATGTGATGTTTGGAAATCTTATAACAATTTTAAAAAAGTATTTTTATGCAAGCTAAAATAAAACTCATTTTATATGTTTAGGCCGAACTTCATAAAATCATTTCTGAAAAACTAAATTTATTTTATATATTTATGCTGATCTTCATAAAATTACTTCTGAAAAATAATTTTAAATATCTCAAAATAAAATTGGGAGACCGAAAAAGAACAGAACAATGTACGAGATGGATAGGGATGGGTCGCAATCACAGGTCATGGGAAGGTCCCACCGCGTGCCTTAGAAGCTTTGTGTCTCTGTTCCCATTGCTTCCTCTAAAATTCTTAACATGCTTCCAGAATATTCACCCACCCCAAACAAATAAATAAACTTATAAACTCACATCTCAAAACAACTTGAATTTGAATTCTATTATTAATACGAGGATTATTTTAATGGGTAATTTATAAATACATTTGTATGCATCATTTGAACTTTAGAATTTTATCTTAATCTTGTCCCCAGCTCATTTCAATTTTTTTAGTTATTGGTAATCGCTTGATTAAGATAATGTCTAAATAATTTTGTTTCAATTATTTTTTTGCCAACAATTTCGTTTCAAAAATTATAAAAACACTTTTTTCAACCCTCCATCTAAATTCTAACTTGCCCAAATAATGGTCATTATCTGTAGCTTTAATTTTATACAAAATTTTAATTTGGTCTTTTAATTCTAAATATATATTTTTAGTCTTGTAATCCTATAATTATTAGTCTTAAATGATAATTAAATTTATTTTAAAAATTAAATTTAATATATTAACAATCAACAATATTTTAGTAATATTTAAAATCTCGGTGTTATATTTTTTATTGAAGGTTTTAGTGTTATGGGAGTAAAATATATATTTTAAAATTAAAGAATTAAAATGAAATATTTTTTATAAAAAAATAATTTTTAAATCTTTCAACTTTTAATATACTTATAACTCAATTCGTTAATTATTAGCACTTTTTAGTCTCTAAACTTTTAGATCGTCCGATAAACTAAATTAACCCTAGAGAGAAATGATGCCTATGAGAGGACTTGGCACGGATTTGGATGAATTTTTTTTAGGGGTCTACTTTGGTGAGTTAATAGTAAATTAACAGCACTATACACCTGCATGAAATTTTTTCAGTTCAATATTACTCGAAAAATTTAAAATTATAGTAATTCATTTATTTTTTAAAAAGTTAATGGTAAATATCACTAATTTTTAATAATATGGAAAAAATTTAAATTTTAGGGGCAATAAGTGAAAATTCAAAACAAATTTACAATTTTTTCCCCTCTTTTTTTGCCAAAAATTTGGTGAGGAGTTGAGTGCTAGTCGCATCAATGCAAAATAAGCATAAATACGTATGTTGCCTCACATCACAAGCTAACTAATGCTTGCTCCTTTTAATATCAGGAACGATGTTGCATCACTTTTTTTTTTTTCAATTTCATTTAAACTTAATATTTACCACTTAATAATTTAAAATATTCAGTATTCATATAAAACTAATTAAGGATAGAAAAGTCTTTTTAACTCTAAATAATATGACTTCTTAAAAAATAATATGACTTCTTAAAAGTCAATACTATGTAACGGAGTAACATGTACTTCATGTAATCAGAGGTGATTTATTTTAGTTTTACATATAAGATGTCAATTTAATTTATTCATCAAATTTATAATTTTTTTAAATTATTCATATTGCACATGTTAACAAAATTTTCATTAAAAGAAATTTTAAGACAAATAATCAAAGAGAATATTTTAGAGAAATCAATGCATATTTTTTACAATAATTAATTTAATTATTCTTTTTTATTTTCTACAAATTAATTATCTAGTTTTTAAATTAAAAATGAGCAGGAGTAATGTGTGGGGAAATGCAGGAGTAGTTTTTCATGCTACAGCCTAGCAGCCTCTCCTGTCTATTCATTTTTATTAAAACTGGAAGATGACATATGAGAAAACTGGTAAATCATGCAATATTAGAAAATATTAAATAAAAACTATTCAATAATTATACAATTGAATGATTAGGAGGGTCTATTTTTTAATTAAGTCTCAAGTCAATAAAATCCTTTTAAAAAATACATTGGATGGAAGTGCATTACAGGTCTCTAGCCACATCATTTTTAAGTAATCTATTGGTAAAATTAGGAAGAAAAACAGTCTCTTATTAAAAATTTTCAGACACGTTACTGGTATTAACAAACACCAGGTTCTTGGCATTAACTTTTTACAGGTCTCTAGCCACATCATTTTGATTCAGAGGAATTGGATAGTTCAAGTTCACCGTATTGATAGGAAAGAAAACCATACTGCTGATTTTTTAGCTAAATTATCTTATTTTATTGTCAGTAAATTTTGTATTCTTAATCAGCCTCCACTTGTATATCTAGGGGCGGAAAATAATGAAAGAGTTTAGATATTATGTTTTGTTTTGGGTAATACAGCTTTTCATTTTAAAAAAAAAAAACATTAGGTCGGCGCACAGCACAAGTGCGATTGCAAGATTAATTTAAGAAAAAGGTTTTAGCATAATTAATGCATGAATAAAGTGGGAGTACCAATTTACTATTTTGGAGAAAGAAAAGGACATATTAAAAAAAAGATTAATATAAATTTTGGTCTCTTAAATTTGTCCTCATTTTAGTTTTAGTCTCTGAGATTTCAAACCATAAGTTTTGATCCCTCAGTGGGCAAAATAGTCCAGGTTTTTATTAGATTATAGGGACTAATATTTTATATGAAAAGAAATTTAAGGGACCAAAACCTATGGTTTGAAATTTAAAGGATTAAAATCAAAATGAGGATAAACTTGAGGAACTAAAGTTTGTATTAAAAAATAAATAAATTAGTTTAATGTTTTACTAAGATAAATATATGGGGATATAGAAACTATTCCTTCCGATTCTAAATACAATATCTATTTTGTAGTGTAGATTTATTTTACAGTATAAATTACATTACAAAATAACGCGGGAGAAGTATTAATTTAGA